AAAAAAAAAAAAAAAAAAAGAAAAAATCCTCTGGTATCTGTTGCTCAAACTGCAGTTTTAGTTCCACATCTCCACTTTGACTCTTGTGCACAAAGGCGTTTATATTTGTGTAGAGTTCCTGCACTCACTGTAACTCTGGTGAGTTTTGTTTTAAAATCCAGTCACATTTAAGAGCCTGCTCTCTTTAGTTTTGAGCTACAGGGATGCAGCAGTGATGAAGAAAGAGGAAAATCCTCAGCATCTCCTGTTATCACCCCTAGAGGGAGTTAGGTCCATTAAAGCTTCAGGTTCTGAGCAGACGAATAGACCAGGAGGGGAAACTTATTTTTGTCTCTGATTGTTGTTTTATCTAAAGCCCATACTGCTAAAAACTCCTCATGAGAGACAAATTAATTTACATGCATTTACGATTTACCTCCTGGTTTGGTGAACGGCATCCTCTGGAGAGCACAGCACAGTGGAGGAAAGCGTAAAGGGGGGTGGGCAGAGCTGTATTTGTTTAACTGGAGTGTTGATGTTTAAAGGTGGGGTGGAGGGGGGAACAGTGTGCTTGACTCTGGTGCTTTTCCTCACTGTGGCTTCTGGTCTTCCATCAGTCACTGCGCTGAAGAAAGCAATGCAAACACAGTTTTTTTTCCTTTCCTCCTCTTTATGGGAAGACTTCCCTGTTTGCCCTGTGCTAACTCAGGACCAGGACAGTGAGACATAACACAGATTGATGCATTGTTCCAAACCCTTTCACCTCTGCGCGCAGGCACACTGCCAAATCTAAACGTCGCCAAGAATATTAGGGGAAGCATAATGCGACAAATACGCTCGGTTAAAATGCAGAGTCCTTTTAATAGATTTGCATGTAAACAACTCCACCATGAGGTGATTTTTTTCATACTGTCACATTATGAAATATAATACCCCATGTGTGTAAAGTTGTGTATAAGTAACATGGTTCGCAAAGGAAGGGGAAAAATGTCTAAATATTTTGATGAACAGCTATGATAAATTATAAAAGCTCCCCCCCCTCCCTCTCCTGAGTCTGGTATAAGGGGGGATATAGAGGAATAATGCTTGTCTTTGTTTTTCAGTCTGAACAAACTCCACCAACCCCTGGGGACAAGAGCATGTGTGTGTTTGGGTGTGTGTGTAAGGGGGTGTCTGTGGCACAGGGGTGTGGAAGGTTAAGGTCACTTGGTCAGTCCCTGAGACCGTCCAGTGAGAGGATCAGTCGACACCTGTAAATGAAAGCTGGCAGGTGCATAAACCCAGTCAGGAGCAAGGATGGATGCAGAGAACAAGTTTTTTTTTAAACGTACATCTTGTCTTATTTAAGCCTTAACGTTCTCTGGGAAACACGAGGCATGCGAGTTCACGTCATGGTGACACAGACCCACAGTGATTTTAATGCAAAAAATGCCAAGTCAAAACCATAATCCCAATTAAATTTTCAAAGATTTGCTTTAGACCACAAACATGTGCTTTTGTCAAAAGGACATTTCAGATTATTTGAAATAGGATTGTTTAGGAGTTTAATGAAGGGGGAACATCTTACCTGCTACAGATAGCTTTTTGAATGAGCTTAGAATGTCACCTTCCTTGTCTCATTGCTACAGCTGAGCACTGCTAACAAACAGCTGAGCTCTACACTGTATTTTGTGTATGGAAACAGTGTTTTAAAACACCCTCTTATAAACACTGAGAAGTACTACATATACGACTGACTAAATGTGAAATAAATAATACAGAAATACTATTAAAGTAAAAATATTAGAGTTTTACTCATTGAGTTGTGGTGTGTGGTTCCTAAATTCTGAACTCATAATGACAATGAATTCACCTCCTTCAGTCTGTCCCAGGGCAGCTGTGGCTACAGTGTAGCTTGCATCATCAGTGTGTGAATGGGTGAATGATTGAAGTGTGAAGCATTTTGGAGTCCAGGGACTTGATAAAGCACTATACAAGTTTAGACCATTTACCATTTAACTTCCCCCAATTTCTGACAGGGAATTCACTGGACGGGTGTTCCAGTTTAAATTTATGTCTTGTAAGTGGGAAATACAGCAAAATGGAGATTTTATGTGGCAAAATCTGCAGGCTATTTTTGAACCCTGTGTGCCTTCACTTCACCCGCTGGGATACCATAATTTTACAGGTAAAATAATCTACATGCATTATGGGAGCTGTAGTTTATGTTCAGTGTTGGTTTCATGGAAGCATACACGAGTTTGAAGACGTTAGACCGTATTGGCAGCTCTCACGGGCCACATAAAATGTAGTGGCCTTGAGTTTGGCCCACATAAGCTAATGGCTATTAGGAGGTCAGGCGTTCTTGGTCCTTAAGGGCCACTATCCTGCAGATTTTACTAGTTTCCCTGCTCCAACACACCTGATTCAATGACTGAATTACCTCTTCAAGTTCTGCAGAAGCCTATCAATCATCCATTTGTACAAATCAGGTGTGTTGGAGCAGAGAAACAAGTATTGGCCCTCGAGAACCAGGATTACCCACCCCTGGTAAAAACCGATGTGGATCTCTGTTGTCTTAAATTAACTTGAATCACCAACACTTTATTGAGGTTTATGAAAACTTTAAATTTTACACTTTTAAACCGTATATTTTTAACATTACACGGTTAGTCTGGCAGAAATATTTTGATGTTACTGCAAGTAGTACCACTCGCTGAACCACAAGGGCTACAGCTGGCTGCTGCTGCTTACACACACCCAAAGAAATTGACTCCAACCCAAAATTATATATATACACTGTATAAATATATATTGTTTTGTGTGTATTTATGTGTAGCTTTTTAAATAATAGATATAATTTTGGTATGTTGTACCACCTGTGAAAAGACATGGATACATATTCCAACTCATTTTAAGCTTTAGGCATTTGTGAGTGATGACATTTTAAAACATAAAACCATGGTATTAGGGTAGTGCATGATCATGCAAACATACGTGGTCATGCAAAGACTAGACCATCTCATTTAACAGCCTTACCTGAACTGCAAAGGTGTGACCTCCATGGGCCGTGGTCTACATGGGCTGCAACGCCTCATTGAGACACAGCAAGAGTGTTTTGTCCAGTTGCATCAGTTTTGCATCGCACGTTTGTTAGCTCCAGTGCCAGTACTTGCAACTGCATCTTATTTCACGTCACACTGCAGCATAAATTTAAACTAAGTTGCTAAACATACATGTAAAAATTTATTCTTTGGTCTGTGAAGTCTTTCCTAACTCCAACATTTTCTTTTTCCTGTTTAGTTTGCTAAATGCACAATAAATCCTGGGATGTTGCGGACCACTAAGGACCTTCAAATCGCTATCTGTGACATGTAAGATACTGACTGACATAGTTTGTGCAAAATGCCACTGACTGTTCTTTTAGACCAGTTCCTGGCTTCTATTAACTCCTTGGAGAAACATATATTCTTTTGTTACTTTATGTCCTTTTGTATTTACTTGAATGTTGTCGACTCAGCCTGTTTCTGTGCCGTGTCTGCAGCCTGCAGTTGTCATTGTTGATCTCAGAAAATCTGATCAAATCACCTTCAAGGGGAATGATAGAACTTGAAAGGCTGGAGTTAAAAAGATATAACATGTTAATCAAGCCTCCAGTGTCAGATATAAATAGGCCTATCATCCAATAAAGCACAGATCTGCTGCATTATGTCCATGTGACATAAAAAAAATAATCTATTAACCTCCACTACATCAATGCCGAGCTCATAATCCTCGGCTGTATCCGAGCGGTGAGCTCAGACCTCTGATCCCCACGCTCTTCATTCCCTCGACCATGACTCATAAAATTTCCAGGTGAAAGTGACAATGTTGATCTGCAGCGCTGTCATCAGCTGATGAATTAGGCTGGGTTCAGCGTGGACAGCGACTGATGGGGGTGGGCTTCACCGGGGGTCTGTGGAAACACAGCAGTCTGAGGGGTTAGAAGCAGGTTTTTCTGACAGGACAGCTATTAAAAGTGAAAATATCGCACACGTTCTCCCAGCACGAAGCCAGCAGAAGGAGACGGTGACACCGGACAGTCCACACACACACAAACACAAACACACACAAACACAAACACACACAAATATACTAAAGTTCTAACAAATAAGAGGTTATTTAAATTCTATTTTACACACAGACAGGATTAGATTTATATAAACAAGGATCAGACAGGTGTGGGTGTGTGTGTGTGTTTGTGTGGATGTGTATTTCTACATCATGGGTACTGTTTTCCAGACAAACAGCCTTGTGGGGACCCAATGCTACTTATGGGGACCAAAGCCTGGTCCCACAGGTATGGATTTTGTGTGTGGAGGGTTTGGTTTAGGACCAAGGTGTGGATTGAGTTTAGGTTAGGTTTATGGGTAAAGGGGTCTGGGTTGTGTGTATGTGTGTGTGTGTGTGTGTGTGTGTGTGTGTGTGTGTGTGTGTG